TTTTTTTCTTGCGTTATGCGGGCCTCTCACTGTTGTGGCCTCTCCCATTTGTGGAGCACAGGCTCCGGACGCGCAGGCTCAGTGGCCATGGCTCACGGGCCCAGCCGCTCCGCGGGATGTGGGATCTTCCCGAAACGGGGCACGAACCCGCGTCTCCTGCATCGGCAGGCGGACTCTCAAGCACTGCGCCACCAGGGAAGCCCAATTTTTTTTTTTTTTTGAGTTTACTGTAAGGTGAACTTTTTTTTCTTACATAAGCTGCCTTTTATCAAGAGCAGAAAATTAGGATGGGTTGATTGGCCCTCTAACCAGTGAAAGGTGTGGAAATTCTACAGCATGAGTCGAGCTGAATTCATGAAAACAAAACAAAACAAAAAAGAGTTGAGCTCACGGCTTTCTGGTTCACCACTATATTCATGGGATAGAGGCCAGGGACTTTTACTCCAAGAGCTAGATCTGTCTTTATATAATGCCTCCCAGTGACTGTGATGACAGTGAGATCTGTAATTTAATTTCAGGCTTAAGTGGTTGCTGCCTCATTTTTTTAGTCCTCTGATAGGCACACAGAGAGTGATACTGAATTAAATGTTAGGCTGGAATTTCTCTAGATTTCTTGTGGATATTTCTTATTGAGGAGTGGAATGGTGAGACTAAAGTTTCTAAGAAGGCTTAGAAAAGATGAAGGAAGTAATAATAAAAGTTCATTGTGAGCAAGTGTGCTATCTTACCTGTCTTTGAACCTCCAGTGCCTGACACAGTGCTTCTTAGTTAAGTCTCATAGTACTAAACAAAAGGATGCTACTACCCCTCCACTTTGTGTCAGGCTGCCACCATTTGTAGTGTTGTCTTTGGATTCCTGGTGGGCCATGGGTGTTTGGGATCTGCTGAGTTTTTTCTCTCTGTGCAGGTTGTGCATTTGCCCAGTTCATGACTCAAGAAGCGGCTCAGAAATGCCTTGAAGCTGCTTCTCCAGAGACCGAGGTAAGGAAGACATTTCCTTTACTCTGTAACTTAGGCTGTAGTGGCTCCCAGGGGCAACATCTGATGTTTACACAAAGCCTTATTATTATTATTGTCAATGATATAATAATAATAAAGCTAACACTTGTTGAGGCACTGAGTTTTACATGCATTACTTTACTTAATCCTCACATCAGCGCTGTAGGTGTATATAAGGTAAGTACAATCATTATTCTTACTTTACAGGTGAGGAAACAGGTATAATAATCTATTTACGGTTCACTCTCTGTATGTCAGTCTCTATCCTAGGCTGATGACATGAAACACTGGGACAAGAAGGGATTAAGGCCATCTGTGAAGTGGAGTAAATGTTTGAGAGAGAAAGTGTGGGTGATTGAGAATTTTTCTGTGATTTCTATAACCAAGTATAAATTGTTTTGAGATAAATTACTCTGTATTGCCATTGCCTCTTAAATTCTCCTGAGTAGAGTTAATACTGCCATTTCATTAGCTTTCTTTAGAATACTAAAAATTTGCCAGCTTACAGATCATTTTCCTCAATTTGGGCCTACTTTGGGAGTAATCAGCTCCCTTAAAACAAATGAACATGTGGCCTTTGCACAGCTGTGCTAAATACTGTTAGGCTCAGTGATCTACTTGCAACCAGCTGGGCTAAAACATCCTGGGGGTTGGGTTCCACAGTATAATTGGGGTTTGCTGTTTTCCCTTTCCTTGGTGTTCCTTGTCAGGTGCTTAGTTTCTACTCATCATGAATTTTAAGAGAGGTTGCAATCTGTTACAGAGTGGTGGGCTTAAACTGGATGGCCGGCAGCTTAAGGTTGACTTGGCAGTGACCCGTGATGAGGCTGCAAAGCTCCGGACAAAGAAGGTGAAGAAGCCGACTGGGACCCGGAACCTCTATCTGGCCCGAGAAGGCTGTGAGTGGTGGCAGGGAGATGGGAACCAGGCTTCTGAGTAGCTGGCCCCTTGCTGTGACAGTGACCTGGCAATAGTATGTTTGGGGCATGTTTCAAATTAAAAACCCTATGTCCTCTTTAACAGTGATATATTGTTAATCCACTTCAGTAGATGTGGCTTTCTGTTAGGAAGGCTTCACCCAGTTCATGGATTAACGAGTCCCGTTCTCCTTTCTGCCTGCTTGCCTTTAGACCTTTTCGTCGAGGATTAGCCGGGCAAAGAGGGAGGAAAAACTCGAATTACCTTTGCCTTTTGTCATCTTTCCTGATAGGTTTTCTGAAGAAGTTGAAAATTATGACGAAAATTACTCTCTTGGATTACTCATGGATTTTAAATATGCACTGAGTACCTTTCCCTTAATGTGAGAAAGATAATCAGGAATTAGCTTTAATTAAGACAAAAGAGAATCCTTTCCTCTAGGTCACACAATATTGCCACCTGCTGCACAGCTGCACAGCCTGGACTAGCAAATGGGAGACCATTAGCCTTTGAGACTAGGCCCTGTGTTACGATGTAGCTGTTTTCTAGGTTGGCTTATCTCACTGCTTAGTAATGGCTCCCAAATACATGCGCATTGAAATTCCAAGGACAGGTTATAGGTAGAGCATTTTTGCATTCTAGACGCCTAAAATGTACTTATTTCCAGAATTTCCTCTAGGCCTTTCCACCTGACTTTGGGCATGTACATGAAACTCTTTGAGGGAAAGGAAGGAGAGGAACAAAATCACAAAATGTTCAGAGTTTTAGTCCTTGAGAGCAGCTCATAGACAATAACTTAGCCCTGTAGCCTATTTCTGGACCTACCCAGATGCCACTATGTCCTGGCCAGCATAGTCCTCTGGGCCCTGTACAGAGAGCTTGCGTCATTCAAATCACATTCCTCTTATTGCTCAGTGAAAATTCCCTTGCTGATGTCTTGGCCTTTTTCCCTCTTTCTGCAGTGATTCGTGCTGGGACGAAGGCTGCAGAGGGTGTGAGTGCTGCTGATATGGCCAAAAGAGAACGAGTGAGTAGATTAGGCACCAGTCTTCATGTTCTGCATGACTTAATAACATCCATAAATAATAATAATTGAATGCTAGAGATGCTCATCAAAGAGCCAAGCAAGTATCGGTCACAGGTGCTGCTTACACGGTTGTTAGAAAACAAGCACACAGGTGAAACAGCAACTAACCCAGCATTATACATAATATCATGTCAGCATTATATGCCATTATTAAGAACTGGGTCTTATTCTTTATTTTCCTAATGCTCAGCAGTAAGCATTTGCCACATAGTATGCTTCTGGATCATGGAGTAGATCCCTAGAGGCTTGGGCTGTATATAATTAGGTGTCAGTATAAATGCAGAATAACATAAGAAAGGAAGGTCAGGGTGGCTAGAGTTAGTAGGGAAGGAGGTATAGATGTGGGTCTTGGAAGGGAGAGTTAAGATTCTGTTTTGACGGGGGGAGGGTGGTGTCTCCAGTAGGAAAACTCTATGTTATGGGATTTCCACTGATAGCTGATGCTATTGAGTTCCTTTGCTGCTCGGCAATATTTGTTCCGGTAATTTTTACTTTTGCCCATATAGCTTACTTTCAAAAAGCTAAGCCAGCCTAGAATGGTAAAGATGCACGATCATTAACAGAATTAACTATGGAACCTGAAAGTGCAGAAGATGACGGACAGAGATGAGAATATAGTGACAGCAAGAGGCAGCATGTCTTTTCTCTGTACAGTTTCTAGACTAGTGTTCTCAACTTTTTTGGTAGTGAACATCTGGAAATCATGGTTATTTGGGGGGCATTGTATGCCCTTTTCTGATCACAATGTGATAGTGACACATTTAATTCTCCCTTAGAGTGAATTTTTCTAGCAAAAAGCTCACTAGATTATACACATTGTAATTCACAGCAGGCACAGTTTTTCCTAGGAGAAAAATTAGACTGTTCAATTTAAGCATGATAACCTCTTCAAATAGCCCTTTTAATATTCATTTCCAGGGTATTTGTTTATTTTGTGATTTGTTAGTACCTTTACCAAACAAG